ACAGTGAGCGACCGCCTCCGGAATAGCAGTTCGGAGCAAACCGCAGCACGGGGCTGCTCAGTGGATTGGATTTTTTATAAGAAAAAAAAATAATTAAAAAAAAAAAAAGGCCAAACAAAGCAAAGGCCCAAATTGTCATTGACTCTGTGCTGGTGCAGTTAGGGGCACCCCGCGGGTCTCGGCGCCGCGTGCCCTGCCCGGCCGCTCGTGTGAACTAATGAGCTTCTGCCGTGTTTAATTGAGGCCGCGCTTCAAACTGGGGGGGTGGYGGGAGGAAATGCAGGAGCCCGAGGGAGCGGAGCGAAGGGAAATATTTATAATCCAGGATGTTAATTATAAATGAGCAGTTTAGCCAGTTTTGTTGTTCAGCCTCCCGCCGCCCCCACCTCTGGAGACCTTTTTTTTTTGCTCCGCTGCTTCCTTTCATACCTAAACAAACACAGTTCCCATGTCCCAGCAAGCCCCCAGCTCGCGCCGGGATGCAGGTGCTCGTGTCCGTCTATCCGCACCGGAAGGCTCTCTGGCGGGAYGGACACTGCTCCGACCACGGCAGTGACCAAGCCCCAGGTGCCGCGGGATGAGCTGTCCCGGCTGTGGTGACCACCCTGATCAGCTTTGTTTCCAGCTCAGAAAGCTGGAAGCTGCTTGGGAGCCTCGGCTGGGGAAGGATGCTCCCTGTAAGAGGTGATTGTGATCCTGGCATGGTGGGAGGACCTCTGGAGATGTCTCCAGGAGGTGAGGAGAACCTCTCTGGGCGCTGCCTTGGGGTTACACGGCCCAGGGAGGCTGGATGCTCCCAGGACAAGGGAATCATGGCAAGGGAATAGCGAGGGTGACATGTGCAGGGCAGCCTCTAGCAGGGCAAAACAGCTGGGCAGTCACAAAATCTTTATCCAGAGGCTTTTCCCGGCACATTCCCACACTGGAGATCCACCTTGTAGCAGAGCTTCACTGCAACAGGATGGGTGGGCAGATGGGGGCTTTCACATCCTTCTTTTTAATTGCCTTTGCCATCCATGCATGCCCTTTATGTGTGTGTGGTGTGTATCTAAGGCACGCTGTATCTGAGGACACCGTACTGGCAAATTGTCCCCCTGAACATCTGGAGCAGCTGCACTGGGGATGCTCAGTGGAGTGGGATTTTGCCACCACAGGCTGGCAGTGGGCACAATTACACACGATTTTGCTTCTCTTTTTGAACAGAAAGTTGAATTGCTGTCAGCAGCACGTGCTAATGGGTGCAAGAGTCTGCGGAACCAGCTGGACACTTGTCATTGAGGGCTCTGTCATTCGGGGTGCACATAAGGAGCCCCAGGTCTCAGGTGTCACCTGTGTAGGTGGCAGATGCGGGRCTGCCCTCTTGACAGGCAAACAACGCCAGCAAAATTAGCAAAATCTGCAAAATTGGCAAAWTCTGCAAAATCAGCCTAACCCCGAGACTCAAAGAACAGCTGCTGAAAGGATTTGTGCTTTGCAGGGTAACAAAGAGCTTGCAAAATATTAATAGTTCGCATTAAACTCTCCAGTGCACGCAGAAAGGCGTCACTTACTTCATCCCTACAAATGATGCCCTTGGATTTTGGGCAGCCTTGTGCTTTTGTGTCCCCATTTTTGTGTCCAACCTGCACGTCTTCCTGCCGCGTGAGAGCGGACACGCTCGTTACGGGCTTTACTGCTCCCATAGCAGGTGTTTCCCTGCAAAATCCCAGGCTGGGAAGCTCCAAGGGCTTGTACAGCAAGCCACGGATAGCACGCTGGCTCCCTGCGCTTGTAAGGGGATTTCTTAGCAGTCTGAGAGGGATTTTGTTTCCTACCAAGCTGTGTTTTTTCCCTCGCTCGGTGCAGTCCATGCTGGAAGTGCCGCATTCTTGGCAAAGGATGGATGGAGGGGACGGATAACACCCGCCGTGCTGAGCGCTGGCCTTGTCCGCGAGCATCCCGGTCCGCGGCGCTCCGCGCGGCGTTGGCTTTCCCCCGAGGCTGTGGGAACCTCGGCTTTCCTGCGGAGATCCTTTCAGGCAGCCAAGYGGGATTTTGGCAGATGAGCGTTCTGGCTCTGTAGCCACGAATGTGGCCAAAAACGTGGCCGCTGGTGGGACCTGGGGGTGGGCCGGAGGGGATTGCTTCACTGGGGCGCTGTGCCAAGGCCGGCTGTGTCCTGCTAGAGGCCTTGGGTCCCCTCCTCTGCCCCTTGCCTTCGCTCAAGGAGAGTTTTTGGAATAGGAAAAAGCGGAGGGAAGCCAGAGCAGCATGTTATTCCTGACTGGGAAAAGGTCGGGAGCAACAGGGTGGTTGGACCAGGACTCCAGAGAGGTGATCCCCGCATGAAGAACTCTCCATAGGGACTTGTGGATGTTCTGGTGCCCCGTACCACCACATTCTCTCCACGTTCTCTCCACCCGTTGTGGTCTGCTGGCTCTACACCAACAGAAAACGGCCCTCACTCTCCTCACCGCCGCGCAAAACCCCATCCAGAGCTGTCCTCCACCTCCTCCCCTCTCCCCTTTAAACCCAGTGCTGCAAACCCCGCTGGCAGAGGAGCCGTTCTCCTTTTCCAGGAGTATTTGGGCAAGGTGGGGCCGGTTGTCTCTTGCACGGCGATGGGCAGGAGGCCTCGCTGTGCAGGTTTGACAGGGGCCRCTTGCTCTCCCGAGGAGCCGATAGCTGAGAGCTGCGGTGACCGGTGACACGTGTTTCGGGGTATTTCTGGGCTTTTGGAGCCAGGATAAACTTCTTGGCAGAGCATGAATATTAACAGCTCTCCCAGCTGTACGGAGGCAGGCGGTGGGAGCTCCTTGAGGTTTATTAGGTTTGGCACTAGCATGGGTAGGACGCATTTCTTGTTGTTGTTCTAACATTGCAGAAAAAAAAAATCTCATGCTCTATTTATTCCCATTTGGGTTAAAAAAAATGTCGAGGGAAGGTGAATCAAGTGTTTCATTCAGAACTTTGRTTCTTGGCGGGAGAAGGAAGGGAGAGCAGCCCAAACTAATAAAGCAGAGGGCAGGGAGGTCTAAATACAGCRTTCCTGCCTAGAGAAGTTATTTCATTTGCTTTAAACTTAAGCAGATTTACAGAAGATTAAAAACCAAAAGCATCTGAGCMTTGTGGATGGGTGTCTGTCAGTGGACAGCCTTTGGAAGGCAATTTCTCACCTGGTGCAATCTAGTTATCTCCAGGCCAGCTCACCTCTGTCCAGGAGAGCAGAAAGGGCTCTGTGTAGCTGGAGATAACTGCAAGGATGGACTCGGAGCTGATCCTGGCCCGTTGCATGTTCAGGAGATGCCTGACYGAGCACCAGCTCCCTTGTTCTTCATGAACTTCCCTTCTCCCCATCCCAGAGTTTCTGTTGCTGTGAGGAGGAGATGGTGTTTGGTCATGTGTGACTAGYTGCTCTTAGAAGGTTTGTGTGCATCGATGGGAGGAAAATGCAGCTAATGTCACCGGCTCCATTTTCTGTTCGCTGCAAGCTGCAGAGTTTGGATTCACAATTGCTTCCCATTTGTGCCTCTTGAACTACAGCACATGCTTTGGCCTCTAGYTCATTGAGATGCCGCAGTCAAGGGGACTGTTGGTTGCCATCCACACACATGGATGTGTGAGCAGAAAAGCAAGTTGTCTGTCCCATGCAGGCAGTTGCAAAGTAGAAGAGCATTTTCAAACATTTCAAGCACCACTTTGAAGTTAGTGAGATGGTGCTTCTGGTGGTTCAAGTCTGTTTGCCAGCCCCGGTGCTGGTTTGAAGGACTGGGGGAGGTTGGCATCTCTGCACCCTGCTGTATCTAAAAAACTCAGCCTTTTTTAGGTGTGGGTGGTGATGATCTTCCAGCCAGACCTAAGTAAATCTGCAGTCGTCCAGGCTGCCCTTGTGCTGCCGATTTTCCTAGTCTCACAAGATCCATGTCTGGCAAAATAAGTGTCAGGGAAGTGCCAAGCATCCTCCTTTCCTGAGGCAGTGGGTAAGCAGGGCAACACTGTGCAGCAAATTGTGCTGTGAATTCTGAAGGTGGTTAATGAGAACACATGAGTTATTGCTACCGAAAGCTTGTTGCCAGCTCAGCTGCCCCCAGGCCACAAGCTTTTGGACGGCAAGGTCAAGTCTGTTTGTGCTGTCACGATGTGGGGGTAGATGCATGAAGGTTGTATGAGATGCAGAACAAGAAGGTTGTGTGAGGATGGTGTTTGCACACGTGTGTGCAGCTCTTGCATCCTTCCTCATGTGCTTCCAGGGCAGGGAGTTGACAGGAGCTTGCTCTTCTTCCAAGATCTCCAAGGTCTTTTGGTCCTGTCCTACAAGAACGTGGTAGAACCTGAAGCCTCTAGGTGCCACGAGCAGCAGAGTGTTGTAGACCTGGGATGTTCCAGTGAGGCTCTGAATCCTTTAGTCCCTTAGATCATGAGCTCAAAGGGAGATGTCCTTTAACCCGAGATATTACCATGTGCATGTTACTGCTAACTATTATATTAATGAACACCTCAAGGGTTTGTTGTGTCTAGAGACCCTTAGGATGCTGGTGAGTTGTGGGCCTGCTCCAAGAGCAGAGCCTAGTTCATGTCACATTTATTCAGTCTTCATTGCTTGTAAGAGACGTTTTTGCCCCCAAAGCACGTTCTTCAAGGTTGTGCAGCCAATTATTTAAGGGCACTGCAAAGTCAGTAGAAGAAAAATCTGTRTATAAAATAGCAGCGTTGTTTCCCCAAAAACAAGAGCTATGAGACTGATGCCAAATAATTGGGACAGAGCTTAGCTGCAAGCAGATGGTAGACCATATATTATATATAAAATATATTAGTTCAATAAATCAGACAGTCTTCCATATCTTGAGCAACCGCTGCTGAATTCAACATGTAGAAAATTGAGCATACGCTGCTCTAAATGCAGCAGCCAGTGGGGTCTTCCCAGGCAGTTGTTTGTGAACAGAGGGGATGTTAATGCTGTTTCTCCTAATCCACTTTCTTTGTTTTGCTTTTTTTTTTTTTTTTTTCCCTCCCCTCTCCAGGACCAGGAAGAAAATAAAGGAGCCACCAGCTGGCCAGAGTTTTATATTGATCAGCTGAATTCAATGGCTGCTGTAAGTATTTCGAGCACRGCTAGTGAGAGCCGTGAAGTCACCGGTGTCGCTTCCTGCTCTTCCCGGCTTGCGGAGCCCAAAGCAATTTCCGACTCGCAGAGCCTGGGGTGGAGGCGAGAAGGAGGAGGAGGATGGGGGCTGTGAGTGAGGAAGGGGCGCGCTGCTCCTGTCCTGGAAAGCCGGGCTGGAGGAAGCGGAGAGCCAGAGCGGAGCCGGGATCAAAGCCCGCCCGGCGCCTGGGGTTCCCTTTGATCTCCCGGCCGTCCTGGCTTCAGCGCGGGGGTCAACGCGGCCCTTTGCATTCACCGGACCCTGAGGCGCTGAACTTGCCCCTTTTTGCCCTTTTTTTGTGCTTCACTCTCTGCCCTGAGGGCCGCTCTCTTGCCCCGGCCACCGTTGGGTGCTGCCAACTTTACAGAGGACTTTACCYCAGCATCTGAGGACCCTGTGCAGGGAAGCGGGCTGCAGCCAGGCGGTTTATTGTGGGATACAGGGAGATGTTTATTTACCTCTTCTTTTTATGTGCTTTGTTTCCTGAAGTGTTGTGGGCTATAGGGAACATGCCGGGATTTGCATCCTGGCCTCCTGAACTCTGCTCTTCCAAGCTTTCCCCCTCATTTCTCTGAGCCCAGGGGTTTTGGGGGATACTCGTGAGCATCCTCCATTCCAGGCTTCTCTGGAGGAGCTACAGACTGGCAGTCTGTGTTGATTCCATTCCTACCTGTGGCATGTTAACTCTGGAACCTACTAATCACTTTGAGGATGATGCTAAGTCTGCGCTTTTGAGATGTTCCCTGGCATCTCCCTTGTGCAGATGGATGTGGCATGGGCACGTTCACCCTCAGAGTGCTTACACGAGCCCACCGGCACAAGCTCCTGCATTTCCTGCCCTTTGGAAACAAACCTGAGGTGCCTGAGGAAGGGATGAGCMGATAAGGTCCTCCCTGCTGTCACTAATCCAGGTGGTCCTGTACGGGCTGCAGGATATCAGGCTGTTTTGCCTCAGTTCCCCGTCTCCTGGCGTCCTGCCACTTGAATGAAGATCTCAGCTTTCAGGATTTAAGGGTTGGTTTAAGGTCTCGGTGCTGAGGGAAGCTCAAAAATCCCATTCATGCATCACACAGCAAATAAAAACCCATTTTCCCTTCAGTTCCTCATCACATCTGGTGGATCTTGCCTCTCGCCATCCTGACCATAGTGGTACCTGCAAAATGAACTCTTTGGTTCCCAGCAGCAAACCCAGCATTACCTTTCCAATCTTCCCATCAGGGCATCTGCTTTGCAGGGAAATCTCATCTCTCTGACTTGCCTTTTTTTTTTTTTTCCCATTTGCAGAGGAAATCACTGATTGCTTTGGAAAAAGAAGACGAGGAGGAGAGGAATAAAACAATAGAAAGTTTGAAGACTGCACTGAGGACGAAACCAATGAGGCAAATCTCTTCCCCYTCCTTGCTCTATTGCCCTTGTTGCAGCTTTTGATTTGTGCTCTCAGACAGAAGGGGTTTAAAAATAGAAATAGGTTTGAGGAGGATGAGGCCAGCTGAGGAGGAGGAGGGAAGTAAGGAGCATGGACCCTGCAGTGGCACTCGCTGCTTTGAGTTGACTATTGCCTCTTCTTGTGGGTTTTTTTTTTGCCTTTTTCTCTGTCTTTTTAATAGATGAGAACCATCAGGAGCTTCACATCTGTTCAGAGAAATCAGGCAGCTTCGTTTTTTCTACCAATTTGCTTTGTTCTAATTGGAGCAAAATGGAAAAATTCCTTCCACATCGAATTTTTCCCCAAAAATTCAGTCTTTGTTGGTCAACCGAACGCTTTGTTTGGAGTTCAGCTTCTTTTTACAATTTTAATGGAATAAAATCATAGGAATCTTCAGGCTTTTGTGAAATGCAGAAAGTGTTGGTAGGAGGTTTTGATGGGGAAAACAAAGAAAGGGTGGGATTCCCTCAAAACAACTTATTTTTTCCCAACATTACTTTGGAGCCTGCATCGTGTCTGCAAAACCTTTAAGATGTTTCAGGTTGACATTTTCTGACAGGAAAACGTCCCATTAAAAAATACACACCCTGTTCCGATGATGGGAGAACCCACTAGTGGGTCAGAGAGATGCAGACACTATAGAAAGTGTTACCTATTGGACCTGCTTTTGCTCTCAAAGAAGTAAACATCAAATTTACTACTTAATTTGGCTGGAGTAAGAGTGCACTTAGATGTTGCATAAACCAGTTTTTACTGAGACTGCAGGTACCCCTTGTGTAGCTGTGCCCCAGCCTGGGTTGTTGTAAATCAAAATCATCCCAGTGCTGGGATATTCTTGGCTCATCAGCTTTCCAAGCCAGGGCCTTTTGCTTTAGGACTTATATCCTAAATTGCAAGGACAGCATGCAGCAAGGGAGAGGGTGTTTTATCTGCATGGTGTGCTGAACCTGCAAGGGGCACTGTCATGCATTTTCTGTCTGTTTTCTGTTAAGCAGCCTTATAAGTCATCATAAAGGTCCAGAAGTCCTCCTTAAAAAAATGGCTAGATGTGCAGAACAGGGGAGAAGAAAGATGTGGGTATGTGGGATTAGGCAGCCTGATGTGAAACTGGTCTCAAATAAGTGGGACTTTAGGCTGGGACTGGGGCAAAGCCTGAGCTTGGCCTCAGGTTTTGACTGCTGGGATGAGTTGGCTGGGTTGGCTGCTCCTCTTCCAGGCATCCTGGCCCTGCACAGACCCTGTGCAGATGGCGTGTGGGTGTCTGTGCTAAGAAACAGGCACCAAATAAACGGAGAGTTTTTCCACTCTTCCATCCCTGTGCTCTGAGCCCCAGGAATCGTGCAGGTTTTTGCAATCCAAAGTCCACATCAGAAAAAAAAAGTGCATAAAACACTTCTAGATCCATCGAAATAATCAGGTCAGCCTCATTTGCGGATAAAGAGGGCGATGGCATTTGGTTTGAAAGGAGCCTTCTTTCCAACAGGTTTGTGACCCGCTTCATCGACCTGGACGGCTTGTCRTGTATCCTGAACTTCCTCAAAAGCATGGACTATGAGACAGCAGAGTCTCGAATACATACCTCACTCATTGGATGTATAAAGGCACTAATGAACAACTCCCTGGGCCGGGCTCACGTCCTGGCCCACTCGGAGAGCATTAACGTAATCGCTCAGAGTCTGAGCACGGAGAATATTAAGACGAAGGTGGCAGTGCTGGAAATCATGGGCGCTGTGTGCCTGGTTCCTGGGGGTCACAAGAAGGTACTGGAGGCGATGCTGCACTACCAGAAATACGCCAGCGAGCGGACTCGGTTTCAGGTAGGAGCTCTCCACCCTGCCCTCACTCTGCTTCAGAGTGAACCACCCCCAGTGGGTGCAAAGATCGTCCCCAGATAGAAYGGTTAAGGATGGAAGGGACCTCTAGAGATCATCCAGTCCAACCTTCCTGCTCCAGCAGGGACACCTAGAGTATGTGGCACAGGGTGGCATCCAGGCGGGTATTGAAGACCTCCAGAGAAGATCCCCAGATCTTCTACATGGGTTGCTACGTGGTTGGTGGTTTGCGCAGCACAGAGGGGACATGTGGACATGTCTGGTGTTGCAGTCTGCTGATTGACATGGTGCATTTGGCAGACGCTSATCAACGACCTGGACAAGAGCACGGGGCGGTATCGGGACGAGGTGAACCTCAAGACGGCCATCATGTCCTTCATCAACGCCGTGCTGAGCCAGGGCGCCGGTGTGGTGAGCTGCGGGGCTCTGTTGTGGTTGTGGTCGTGGTTGTTGTGGTTGTTTTAATACGGTTTGAGAGGAGAAGCTTCTTGCTGTGTTGACCCCACAACTGTCCTTTCCAGGAAAGCCTGGATTTCAGACTCCATCTGAGATACGAGTTTCTCATGCTGGGAATCCAGCCCGTCATTGATAAACTAAGAGAGCATGAAAATTCAACCCTAGACCGGTGAGTAGTGACTGACTGTCTTCTGGGTACTCACTTTCCTTACTGGTTTACTTGCTGGATTTTGGACATGATGGATGTAGATGCAAGATCTGACCTTCCATTTGCCTTGGGGAAATCCCTTTCTGTAACCAAAGAGGGAGGAAAGAAACCTGCCAAATGCCCTGCAACAGGCACAGTCAACTTGCTTTGATACCTGCCCCTATTAGATATCCCAGGGACATCTTGCTCATTGCCAAGGCCAACCCGTTAACCCAGCAACTGCAATTRCTGCACGCTGTGGCACAGCTGAACCAGGAAGGGTATCCATCACATATATCCCTCACAGGCCTGGAAGACTTCTCTCTTCCTCTTCCTCCCAGTGCCGTCCTTTTCCCAGACAGCTCCTTGGAGAGGCTGTAATTGTCTTGTCCTCTATGTCTGTGAGCTGCGTTCTCAAGCCTGCTTGAGTGAAGATCATCTTGTGGAGCTCTTGGAGCTCCAGACCATAGATGAGGAGTATGTTTCAAGTCCTATTTTTCTCTAGGCTGCTGTGTGCTAGCTGACTGCTTTGGAAGCTGCTGCAGGTTACCTGCTGCAGGTTATTAAATCCATTTAAACAGTCTTTTTAAAAATTTTCTTTTTCCTCAGGCATTTAGATTTTTTTGAAATGCTTAGAAATGAAGATGAACTGGAATTTGCCAAAAGATTTGAACTGGTGAGTATGAACATTATTGATGTAGACACTGCTTTGAGATGTCAGGTTTCTTTTTAAAAGCACTCATGTGTACAGGGACAAAGTATGGCCATTTGGATGACATTTGCCCATTGGAAGTCTGAGTTGGGCTGAGCTTGGCTTGTTTCCTTGGGCTTTCACCTTGTTTTACGGTGGCTGGACCTCACTGTGCTCTTTCTCAATAGGTTCACATAGACACCAAAAGTGCAACACAGATGTTTGAGCTGACAAGGAAGAGGCTGACTCACACAGAAGCGTATCCCCACTTCATGTCCATCCTCCACCACTGCCTCCAAATGCCTTGTGAGTAGAGCAGCATTGCTCCAATGGGACAGGGAGGAGAAACCGGTGGTCCTCTGGGGCTCAGGAGGCTCTCTCCKTATTCTCCTGATCCTATATTGATTTCTGGGCTATTTAGTCTCTCATTCCCTCTSCCTGTTTAGATAAAAGAAGTGGCAACACTGTCCAGTACTGGCTACTGCTCGACAGGATCGTGCAACAGATTGTCATACAGAGTGACAAGGGGCAGGACCCCGACGCCACCCCTCTGGAGAACTTCAACATCAAGAATGTTGTCCGCATGTAAGCGCTCATCCTGCTCCCAGCTGGGRATGGGCAAGGAGCTCTGGTGTTAATCCCTTGGGTTGCTCGCCTCCATCCAATGGGTTGTGTGTGGGAATTAAGCTCAACCTCTGGGAGTTAAGCTCAACCTCTGCACTGTTCTCCTTGACTGTCACTGTCACCACTCCTTCTTCATCACTTAGTACTCACACAGTGATGTCTCAGCTCCTGGCTTGGCTGTGACCCCAGAGCTGTCAAATTCRTCTTAGCAAGTGAAAAAGCGGCTGGTGGGAGAGGTGGGGAGGTGTTGGAAATGCCAGGTTGGGAGCTGCACCCRAACAGGCGGCCACGGGTCTCACCTTACGGTCTCGCACGATGTTTGCTAATGGTGTTGGCTTGTTCACGGTGCTAGGGCAGCTTCATAACACTGCTTGTGTTCCTTCTTTTAGGTTAGTCAATGAAAATGAAGTTAAGCAGTGGAAGGAGCAAGCCGAAAAAATGCGCAAAGGTGAATGATTAAAGAGATATAAGATGCTAGCTTTAAACCTAGCACAAAGAGTAAGCTAAAGTGATAATGTATATATGCACTTGAGCTGGATGGAGTGTCTGCAGTATTTGGTCACTGGCTGAGGTTATACCCTGCCATAGACTTAAAACAAAAATGGCAAAGAAGAGATTATGTTTTTTCTTGGGACCATTAGGGGAAAAGGAGGTCTGTCCACAAAAATATACTGTTATTGGGTTAAGTAAAGAAAAGAAACTGTGAAATAGAGGGGTTGATTTTTACAATTGCATCTATCCTCCTCTCTCACAATCAGAAGACCAATGCTATTTTGTAGATTGTTTGTATTTATCAGAATAGATGAGGAGGTCAGGGATGACGTATCTGGGCTTGGCAGGGAAGTTGTCTTCATCTAACAAAGCCTCTGAGCATGGATTTAAGTCCTGACGTCCCTCCTTTTTCATACAATTTATTTGACCTTAATCACTCTGGCCTTGATTCAGCGAAGCCCGGAGGTCAGGTAAGAGAGCCAGGATTAGCAGGTAGCCCCAAAATACCAGCAGGTCAGGACACGTGAGCTGCTGCCTCTCAGTGCTGCAGCTCTCGAAGGTGAAATGATGTCTGTSCATGTCCCAGGATGTTTCATCAGCAGATGCAGGAGTTCTCCCTCCATGACCTGGGCACACCTTTGCTACATCAGTCACTGAGCTCCCTGTCCCAAAATCTGCAGTGCAATTGAAAACTCTGCCCAGGGCATTAAGTAGATGATGCAGGTCCCCTTTTCTAAACTGTGCTCCTTTTCTCTAGGGCAGCCTAGGGTCGGTTTCCTGCACGTGGCTGCTTGCAGTAAGGGGGTGTTTGCAATGCAGGAGTGATTTCACGGGGCTCTTTCACGGGGCTGTTGCAGAGCACAGCGAGCTCCAGCAGAAGCTGGAAAAGAAGGAGCGGGAGTGCGACGCCAAGGCCCAGGAGAAGGAGGAGATGATGCAGACACTGAACAAGATGAAGGAGAAGCTGGAGAAGGAGTCCACCGAGCACAAGCAGGTCAAGCAGCAGGTGGCCGACCTCACGGCACAGCTCCACGAGATGAGCCGGGTGAGGGTCCCAGCCTGCTCCCCATCGACGGGCAATCCCCCAGCCACRTGTCACAGTGATCTGCAGATGCCCCGGGGTGGATTTTGGTGGCCAAGGTGTTGGAGGACTGAGACACTCACCCRGGAGGGCATCCAAGGGCATCCAAGCCACCAGGGATGGGGAGATTTCACCTGTCCGGCTGCATTGTGCATCTCGATTGAGAGCATCCAGCCTTTGAGTGCTTCCCATGCTGGTTAAATCTGACTTTTTCCCCCACTGACCATCCTCAACATGTGTCCCATCCTGTCCTTTGAAGCCATCCGGCAGCTCTGTCCCGGGGAAGCCGACGCTTTGGGCTCTGCTGTKGTTGACAGCGGTGGCCACCAAACAGTGTGGCGGGTGGAGACCGAGGTGCCCCCCACGTTGTGTGACCAGTCCCCCCTCTCCCTGTCTCCCAGAGAGCCACCTGTGCCGCGGTCCCCGGAGGACCCCCCTTGCCCCCAGGCGCTCCCGGCGGCCCGTTGCCATCCCCGTCTCCAGGATCCCTCCTGCCGCCGCCGCCGCCGCCGCCACCGCCGGGAGGGTGTCCCCCGCCGCCGCCACCGCCGCCGCCGCCGGGCGGCCCCCCGCCGCCCCCCGGCCCCCCGCCCCTCGACGGGGTGCTGCCCCCGCCCGGGGCGCCGCTGGGCTTGGCCCTCAAGAAGAAGAGCATCCCACAGCCCACAAACGCCCTCAAGTCCTTCAACTGGTCCAAGCTGCCCGAGGTAAGACACATCCCTGGTGCTCAGGGCCCAGGTCGGGGTCCCCAGGTGGGGCGATGTGGCCCATGCCCCCTGCCACATGTTGTGTTTCAGAACAAGCTGGCCGGCACTGTGTGGACCGAGATCGACGACGCAAAAGTCTTCAAAATCCTCGACCTGGAGGACCTCGAGAGAACCTTCTCGGCCTACCAAAGACAGCAGGTACCGGCGGCCCCGTTTGTCCTGGCACTCTCCAGGCGCATCCGTGCTGTGTTGGCCGGGCATGTGTGGTGGGTCCATGCTCACGTCTGCACCCCTCTGCCTTGGCTCTGCTATGAGCGTTAGCGGCTGCATGTGCCCCCTGCCCCATGGAAGTAGTCCCCGGATGCGGCCGCGGTTGGGGAATGTTTCTGGATTGCTCTTAAGAGCCACTGCTTGGTGTCTTTGTATTGGGTGGAAAATTTATATCCCTCTCTGGCCAAAAAAAAAAAGACTTTTACCCACATCTGCCATGGGTGGATCTCTTTTATTTTTGTAGTGAGCCCGGAGCAAAATGCACGCTTTGAACACTAAACAAATCCCAGAGCAGAAGAATGACACAGTGGGCAAAAGTCTCTGTCTTTTAGTCTCTTTTTCAAGCAATGTGGCCCCAATTTGGAAGGCATCAAAGCACATGAGGAAAATCAGACACTTGTTTTCCCCAGGCGGGATCATTAGTGGGCAAAAACCATGAGGTTTTGGGGAATGTGGGGGAAAAAGCCAGGAGAGATGCTGCAAAAGTTGCATTCACCTGCTGTGTCTTGGGACAAGGTGGGAATAGTAGCCCAGGGAGGGAAGGGACCCATAAGCTCCTTAGACAACCTGAGAGTTTAATCTCTTCCCRAGGCTAATCTAGGGGAAGATCAAGGCAGATTAGAACAGGGCACATATCAAAAGTGACCTACCAGAAGTAGGTGCTACCTCAGCGTATTTTGGGAATAAGTCACTGAGTTGCTGGCTCTTTCCTTTGGTGTTTTTGGATCTTGATTTATGCTTAYTGGGGAGATTAGCAGATGGAAATGGAGAGGATGCAGAAAACAGCAAGCTGGAGTACTAGCTGGTTCATCAGTGTGAGGCAACTTATCGCCTGGTTAACACTAGATTATTCCAAGGCAGAAATGGAAATTAAAACATAATTCTTTTCCTCCAAACTGGCTCTGTGGTCACTGTTCCCCAAGTCCTGCTCGACTGGATGGGCGAGCAACATTCAGCCTCCAGCCCCACCAAAATCACAAAACCAGCCTGCAAACCCCTGCCTAGCCAGCGTGCGGACCTGAGATGAGTCACGTATTTAATTTTAAGCATCTCTTTATAAATTCTTTTCCCAGACCACAAGCTAGGTAGTTAAATGCAGGCTCTAAAATGAGCTGTGCAGCTGGGGACAGCGCAGGGGACTTGGGGACAGCTCAGGGCCTGCACATGCACTCGGTGGCAGAAATGCAGGTTTGGGAGCAGCCCCGGGAGGTCCCGGATCCAGCAGCGATGAGTGCGGTGGAAGAGCTGTGGCCAAGTGGAAAAAACAATCTGCRCGCTGTTGAACCCAGGGCTTAGCAGCGAGCTAGGAAAGAATTTATCTTCCTAAAAAGGATGTGAGAAGAAAAGGCTCCATCTCCTCTCTGTTAGCCAGGGTGACCTGCACACGTGCCRGAGGGTACGTAATGATTGTGGGATGGCGATAGCGGATTTAAAGAAGCTGCTCGCTCTTTTCCTGCCATCCTCCCTATTCATTAGAGCTTGGATCACATTTAATGCAAGAAAGAGGCAGAGCTGAGGTAGATCTGAGGCAGAAGGTGAGGATTTTTGAATTGGACCTTCTCTGTAGCCTAAGGGTTTTGTGAGCTCTTGTTTCCTGAAGAGTCCAGATTGCAGGAGGACATCAGCATCCTCTTCCTCTCCAGGGGGGTAGACTGAAGCATCTGGATGAAAGAAGGGCTCCCTAACTAGGGGTTAGTTAAAGGAGCCACAGAGCACCTCCTCCTGCTYGTGGAGCTGCCCTGTGCCATCTCCAGAAGGAAACTGCTGCAAAGAGGCTGCTCCATGAGACCCTAAAAAACCTTAAAAACTCTGCATTTTTCAACTGGTCTGTGCAAAGCCCAGGAAGAGCAGCTTGTGTCTCTTCGTTGGGGAGCTGTAGTCTCCCCTTAACTCGCAAAGACCCCAGCTGGGTTTGCTTCACACCAGAGCCATCAACGCAGAGCTTTGCAGCTTCGGCTTCCAGGTCTCTCTAGCCATTCGCACAAGCAAAGCCCCTTCTCCAAAACCACACACATCCAGGAGGGAAAACCTAGCTCCTTTCCCGCCCTGGGGGAAATCAAGGCATTGCTTTTGCTGCAGCTCATTTGCAGTCTGCAAAAACCCCAGCCCTGGGAAGAGGTAGRAGCTAAAAGTGTGGCCAGGCTCGGGGTGTCCCCGTGGCACCCTCGGGATGCAGCTTGTCGTGTTCCTCTGCAGAGGAAAACCCTGGTGCATCCACTGAGCGAGCAGGGACACTCAGGAAAGGGCTGCTTAGTTGGCTTTTTGGCTGCTCGTTCCTTGTTTCCTTGTCTTTCAGCACATGTTTTTATTTTCTGGGCTCTAGGAAAGCTTTTTTGTGGGTTTGATTTTTTTTTTTTTTGCATGTGCGTGTGCGGTTTCGTGATGCCAACTTTGCTGCACATGCTTTGAGTGCTGCAGGGCATTGGGGAGCCCTGCAGAGGAGCGAGATGAGCAGCAGGCCGAGATGCGAGCCGGGCTCCGGGTAGTGTTTCCGCAGGCTGCGGAGCCCTGCAGAAGGGCTGTTTTCCCAGCAGGAGGAGAGGCCGAGGAGCAGTGTGTTGCCATGGCAAATGGTAAAGTTTTTGCTGCAACAGGATTCGCTCCGGGACGAGAATCTCGTTATTTCCACTTGCAAGCGCTGTTTTTCCTGGCACTCACATTGACATTTCGTCCTCTCAGATTCACAGGAACTAGCAATTTTCTTCCCTTGCATTTGATCCCTCGGGCCAGCGCGCTGCCTCGCGTGCAAAGCCCAGGCAGGGCATGGCAGGAGATGCCYCAAGCATCCTGCCATCCACATCCACATCCTCCATCCCAGCACAGAGCCCCCTTGCCACCATCCCTCTGCCGAGCAGCTTCCCTGCCTCTCCTCGCCTTCCCCATCCGGTATCTCCTCCTTTGCATCCCTTCATCTCCATCACCTTGCCAGGCACATCCATTTTTTGGAGCTGGTAGCACCTGAATTATTCCTCTTATGGCTGAGACCTGTCGACTGTGCTTTGGTTTTGCTGTGATCACTGAACTGCATGTGTTTTTTACTGCCTTTTTCTTCCATGCTTCTGCTATGGCTGTAGGACTTCTTTGTGAACAGTAACTCCAGACAGGTAAGTGCTCCCCTGCAGAAACCTCGTGCTGTGAGGAAYGGGAAGGCTTTGGGCACTGTCCTTGCGATTTCCCACCTGGCCACTCTTTTCTTTTTAGTACAAGAGAAAGAATTAATTAAAAAATGGGAACTTGTCTTTGTTCTCTCAACTTGCAGAGCAGTCCTAGGGTTTCTAGGCTCTGTAATGTTTAGGGCATATCCGTAGCCTGCAGAACCTTGATATGCACTGTACAGAAGGATTGAATAGCTGGCTGTTAATTTATTAACCTTACTAAAAGCAACCAATATGGTAAATTGAAACCGAGGCAACAGAAACTCATGGGGCAAAACTCTGCAAAGCTACATTAGATTTGCTTTTAAGGAGATCCCTCCATTCTTTTGCCACTGCAGTTTTGCCTCTTTCATTTGGAAGGAACTTACTTAAGCTACGTAGGAAACTTGGATGCACCATGATTTCTGCTTTCACATCCTTAATATTTTTGGAAGCATTTCCCCAAATGAACAGCAAAYGCTGCAGGTTGTATTTGCAAGCATGGTAGCTGTGAGTGGTTAATGTCCTGTTGAGGACTGGTGCGTAGAGGGTGGCTGCAGGTTTTTTGAGGGCTGGTGAAGAACAAGGGTGATCCTGAGTGTGTGCAGCAGCCCATAATGAAATATTTCAAGCGGGAGTTTAATGAAGTATCACAAATATGTGTGCTAAGAAAGCCCTGCTTTATTTATTCAGCAGCGCCTATGTGTTTGCAGATTCTTAAGTCTTCTTCTGTCTGAGAAAATATTTACATTTCTAACCCATAGCTTCAAAGCTCGTTCTGGTTTATGAAATGACTTACTGTGTTTCAGTTACAGCCTATGGGTTTTGCTCATAACCCTTGGTGACACTGCTGATTAATGGGGGCTGCTGTGTACAGCGCTAGTATGTGCTGAGAGTACTAAATGTCTTCGCTTCTTCATGGCTTTTCTCCATGCTTTTCTTGTTTTTTTTTTTTTGTAGAAGGAAGATGCTATCGATGACACGTTGAGTTCCAGGCATAAAGTCAAGGAGCTTTCAGTAATAGACGGCCGGAGAGCTCAGAACTGCAATATTCTTCTCTCAAGGTATGGGATCTTGCTGCCCTTTGGGGGAGCTATCCCTGCTGCTCACATAGGCAGCGGCCCCTTCCCGTGGTGTCGGGTGCTGGTGAGGCTGGAGCTGCTGAGGAGCAGCGCGCCCTGAGCGCGAGAGGTGCTCGGTCCCCAGGGGGGATTTTAGTGACAGGAGCCTTGGGAGCAGAGCCAGGGACACCTGAGCCCCGCTGTAGAGTTACAGCTTCCACTGCAGTGTGKTGTGGGGCAGGGAAATGCACTTAACACGTGGCAGTTCACGGTGTCCCCGTGGAGCCTCGGAGCAGCTCCTTAACCACTGAACCCCCGTAGGGATTTGGAGGGGTTGGATTTCATCCTTTATCTCCTTTAAGCTTGATTTGGGTTACTTTTTGGCAGCTGTTGAAGGGCCCTCTGTTATGCTGGGGAAAACACTGCGTGTTGGAAGTGCAGGAGTAGCCTACATAGGGCATCAGGCCCCCCAGGATCAGCCCTGGGCACCACAAGCGACTCAGTCCAATCCCCAAATCCAACTTCTGCCAGGGTGACCAAAGGAGCAGATTTCACAAGGTAAAACGAAGCAGTAGGACTGACCTTGGGGAAAGCAGATGCCTGATTGTGGGAGAATTGAGCCGTCAGCATAGACATTKGAGATAGGAAACAGCAAAAAATACTGCCTGCGTCTGGTGGCCCCCAAGAAAGGGAATCCAACAGCAGTAACATGCAGCTGTGCTCAGAAACACAGTTCTYTTTTGGTGCTTGGACATGCACAAGCCGTTGTGCCACCGCGAGCTGTCCTAAAGCGAGCGTGGGGACGTGATGCTGCAGGAGAGGAGCAATGAGACCCAGCATGGGCCGCATGTGCAGGAAGGACAGGCTTGTGCCGTGACAACCTTGGGATGAGGTCCCTGGCTTGGCGTCCCTCAACGTGCTCCCATGGGCTGTTGCAGACTCCAACTCTGGCCCTGCTTCTCCAGCAGCCCGTGGGATCTTGGGCAAATCCTTTAATCCCTGCCCGCCTCCACTGTGCATCTCCACACGGAGGGGAGCAGCAAGTCCCTCCATCCATCGTGGAAGCAGCCGTGGTGGAGCCGAGCTCCCCGGCAGCYGCTGCTCCAACCTCACTGCGCTCCAGGGAAAGGGGAGCAGATTTTCACACGTGAAAGGACCTGCAGGGTTGGCCCCTCGCTCAGCTTGCAAGCAGYGCAGCCCTGGCCTGGCTTGCAGCGTGGAAAGATTATGGCCAGCGAGATACTTTATCTCTCTCTGTAGATTTATTTTTTCGCCCGCTTCCCTTGCTTTGGGAGAAATTGCTGCGCAGTGAGATCACTGGCTTGTCCTTCAGTCAGAATGCAGCACAGGAATATTTTTAACACGTGCTTTTTTTTTCTCTTAGGAGCGCTCCAAGAGTGCCGATGTCAGTGCAGTGTAGGGTCTCGCTCAGTGCAACCACTGCCATGTCCTTGCTTTTGCTCAGCGTGGGTATTTTTAGGGCATTTGATGCACGTTTTGCAAGGTGCAAAGACTTGAGCCTTTCTCATCCTGAATGCGGTGGAGGCGTAAGGCTCATTTGCTCTGCCCCTACAATGAGACATTTTTGCAAAGCAGGGCAGCTTTTCAAGAGGGCCACGTCCCTTCCCTGCCCGAATTTCCCCTTCACGCTCAGTACAGCCCCGGCTGGGCTCTACAAAAGCGACGCAAAACCGCCYGGCGCTGCTGGGGCTGGCGAGCTGTCACTTTGCATCTCCGGGCCGCCGGGCTTAAATCCCCGTGACAGCAAACACCGTGACCCCGTTCCTCTCAGACGGCTCGCGTTCGGCAGCTGCTGCCAACAATGATAATTATTGTGGTTATAGATAAGCTTCTAGCTTTCACTGGCCCCTTTCCCATCACGGCGTCTGAGAAGCTGTTTGCTTCTGGCGCCCCGCGCTCGCTCTCTGCTGATACCGGGGCCGGCTCTTGTTCTTGGCACTCGGCTTGGGTGATTGCTGAGAAAAGAGGGTTTTTTTTGCCCTCCTTTCTTTTGTTGACTTTGTTTTGAATGAGCAGGGCTTAACAAAAGTCACGGTGGTCGTGGTGGTGTTRGATGTTCGTTTGCTGCAAGGTTTGGGATGAGCAGTAACTGCCTGTGCGACAGGTTCTTCCAGGAGCCTTTTTTCCCTCCCAGGGATCCCCAAAATGTCCTATTAGGAGTATCCCCATACCTAGACACCAATATAGTGCCCCAGTCTGCTTCTCATTTGGGTAGGGACCAGTGAGGTGCTGCTGGGAGCTCAGCCCTGCAGCTTCACAGGGGGACATCCAGCCTTGAGCATGAGATTTCCAGCTGAATCACCCCTCTGCATCCCATCCTGTCGGGATGAGTCCAGGAAGGACTCTTCTCCAGGGTTCTCGGAGGGTTTCCCCCTGGAAAATTTCCAGGGTGGGAAATGTGCAACCCGGCTGAGGCTGCACAGCAGCTGCAGGGGGAACAGCTGAGCCCTCTGCAATGGGGCCACTAGGGCTGTGCCGGGGGGAGATCCCAGCCTCAGCCCCGGCTAGTCCCAACCCTAACTCCTGGCCTTGCAAGGAGGTTTGAATCCTAGTTATTCCAATCTTTCTTTTCCTTAATTCCCCCTCAGCCAAACCGGCAAACTTTATTTGGGCAAACTCGTGCGTTGCTCWTCTTGCTCGGGAATACCTAAGTTGTCGTGTTGCCCGAGTGGCTTGCTGCAGTGCTGGTGTGCCTGGCCCTGCTCTGCACAAGGGAGAAACGCCCRGGAAATGTTAATCCTGGTTCACTGCAGGGTATGCCAGCGCAGGGGATTTTCTTTTCAGATGCTGCACTAAGCTGGGAGGAGCCTGCTCCTCACTAGCTGCTGCCCAAGCTGGGCTGCCGAATAAATAGCTACCAGGGAAAAGCAGTGTGGCTTTTTTTGCTGTGATATGGTGGTCGACATTTAAAGAAATGTCAGAGGTTTCCAGCTTGCTGCACTTTGAAGCACATGGACGATTTCCTCCACCYCTTTAAAAAGCCCCCAGATTTTGGATTTGTTTTGCTCTTCCCGAAGGGAGGCTACAGCCTAACATGACTGCGTAACACCAGCCTTGTTTCTCACATTTTTGTCTCAAAAACACACATTCTGCTGCACTTTGGGATGGGTCTTTGCAATTCGGCTGCAGAGCAGGAATTAAGGTGTCTCAGTCTCTTGGCTGCATCTGTGCTTGGCTAGGAAAATGTTCCTGGATCCATGGATCCATCCACAGGCTTCTCGCCCTAGTTGCCCGCTTGCGTTGAAGCCTAACCCAAGAAGAGGGCAGTGGGTTCCTGGTGCCCCTGAACTGRTGCCAACATCCCCACAGATCCCCAGGGATGCTCCGGGCTGCTGGAGGAATTTCAAGGCTCAACAGGAAGCCAGAGCCTGGGACAATTGTGGCAAGGGACTCTCTGGGACCGACRAGACTGATGGTGTGGGAAATTTCCCATCCTGAAATGGCGGTTGGGATTGGGCTTCATGAGGGAGTGACCCTCTTCCTTCTCTCCTTCCACCTGCCAGGCTGAAGCTGTCGAATGAGGAGATCAAGCGGGCGATCCTGACTATGGATGAGCAGGAGGACCTTCCCAAGGACATGCTGGAACAGGTGGGTGATGCCAGCACGAAGCTCTTCCTTCTTTTCGGAGCACCTTTCAAATCTGTCCATGCCATGCCAGCCCCGAACATCCTATCAGCTCCTGCAAAATGAAAAGGAGCTGCAAGGCTCCTTTCCACCTTCAACCATAAACCCTGGGATTGTAAAACCCTGCGGCCTCCTTAGCGTTGGGGTTTGGGGTGAGCAGTCCCAAAGCACACCTGAATGCCTGGTTAGAGAAACAATAAAGCAACCAGATCTGGGAGCTCAAGGCTTTGCAGTTTGGCTGTGCCTGTTATGTGTTTTTGGGCTGCGATTTGCTGTTCTTGCTTGGTAGGGGGTTATTTTTTAATTGCTTTTTTCTCTTCAAAGCTTGTTCAGTGTCTGTGCAGCCTTCAGGAGGCCTTTTTGAGCCCTTTGAATGCTTTGAGGAGCATTTTATCTGCCTGTTTACTTGCCTGACTCCATAAATTCAGGGCAGGGTGTTTCAGCCTGTCTCAGCAGAAAAGGGGAAGGTTGCACAAAACTTCCATCTGCAAATATGTAGAGTTGCAGCAAATGCGAGTCCCTCTCATCTCCTTAAAGAGGATTGATGTTGAAACCTCCTTGGAGTCGACATAGAACATGTGTTGTAAAACTGAAGTGATGGCAGGGCAGAAACCAGAGACACAAATGTGATGGGGTAACAGGAGGAAGGAGGAGGGGACAGTGATAACATACTTGTTTTTGTAGATTTTGAGTCATTTTCTGTACATATTGAGACAGTAGTGGATTCAAGGGGCTGGGTCACCAATTTGCTCATGAGGAACCATGCCTGGATCTCATGCCTACAACCTTGCTTTCCCTTGTTTAGCTCCTGAAATTTGTTCCTGAAAAGGGTGACATTGACCTCCTGGAAGAGCACAAGCACGAGCTGGACCGCATGGCCAAGGCAGACCGGTTCCTCTTTGAAATGAGCAGGTAGGCTGCCTGATCATGAGGCTGCTGCTCCATGAAGGCTGGGCTGCAAACCTGCCACACTTGGTGTTTTGCATGTCATGCACTCCCTCGTGCAGAGCTGAGCTCAACTGAGGCGCAGCATCTCTGCTCCTGGAGCACCAGCGGTTCCCGGGGCTCTCCCAYGCTGTCTACCCCCTCCTTTTGGGAAGAAAACTCATTCTGGCCCAAGTTTTCTGCAAAAAAATGAATCACTTGCGTGATGGCAGAGGCAGAAAGTGCTGTTTGCGTGAGAGCAGTTCCCGAGTAATGTTCCTTTTCCACCAGCACTTACATGTCCTAAAGAACACTCAAGGCTGATCAATTTTTGCCATGCATGTAGCTCTCCACGCCACTGAGAGCAACACCACACCTCCAGCAATGCCCCGTCCCTAAGGCTCTTGAGAACATACAAGAAGGAARGGAAATGTCATTTCTTCCTGATCCTGGTAGCAGTCATTTAAGGCTTAGGGGTCTTGAGGGATGGATAGCCTTATCTTTTGCATGCACATCCTCCAGAGGTGCGGGCTTAAAATCTTGAAGCTCCTTACTTAAATCCAGCTGAATATTGAGCTCTCTGTTTTTTTTGCTGAGAGGACTTTCTTCCCTGAACTTTGAGCAAGTTACTTGGTTGCAAAGTCAGTGAGTTTCATAATCCACCATCATTCCAGGAGGTCAAAAATAGAAACATTCCTGTTCTCTCTGAGAAACACAGCACTCAATAACGTGCACGGTGTCGTTGCTGAATGTCAAAGGCAGGTAGGATGGAGCTGTGAAGTTCAGACCTGARCCCTCAGGGCTGGAAGGCATCCAGAATTAGCTTTCCTATTTCAAATCACCTTTTCTTCTTCACAGTCTCTTGCCCAAATGTTGCCCTCATGCCTTCATCTTTTGCAAAGTCCAACATGCTGATGCAAGTATTTCCTCTGAGTTTAGGCCCGGCTTTTTAATTTCCCGGTGGCCTGTAACTGAGAGTGATGTGTTTGCCATCTGATTAATGCAGCATGAGTGTAGCCCGTGGCTTTGTTGTCTCTGAGCATGTCTCCTGTAGGCCCTGGTCCAAATGACTCAAATCACACTTAACATTTGCTCATAATTGAGATACTGCTTAGCCTAAATATGACCAACATGAGCAGTCCCTAACTTGCCCAGCGCAGGCTTGGACAAGGATTTCTTGCTGGCCCTTTCCCTCAGGTGGGGGCAGATGATCCTTTTGAGCATCTGTAGGTCCAGTTTCAGCCATTCTGGGAGCTGTTGTGTCTGCATCCACTCGTAGCCTATGGCAAAACCACTGAGAGCCCCGGTCTGATCAGCATCTCTGCTCAGGAGTGATCTTAAGCAGATTCGTTTTTGATTGCAGTAGGGTGTAAATATGCACTTTTGAACCTCTTGAGTTAAGGATAGACTTAAGCCTGTGCATAAGAGCCCACCAGAATGAGACACTAAAAGACTGAGTTTTAAGTTGGCATTTTTTCCCCACCCCAGTGTAGTTTCAGAGAGAAAAGGGGTCRTTATTTGTGATTCAATGTGGCTGAGTTCTGCTTTGTAAGGACAGCTTTGAATGTCCCTCTGCCCGGAGCAAGCCACGCTCAACCTGCTSCTCTCTGTCCTGGCAGGATAAACCATTACCAGCAACGACTGCAGTCCCTCTACTTCAAGAAGAAGTTTGCAGAGAGAGTTGCAGAAGTCAAACCCAAGGTTGAAGGCAAGTGACCGGATCACATGTGGGTGATGCAAAGGGAGTGATGTGCCCTGGGGAGAGGGGTTTGGGGTGTGCAGGGGTGACATCCATGTGTGTGTCCTCGCAGCCATCCGCGCCGGCTCCAAGGCCGTKCTCCAGAGCAGCAGCCTGCAGCAGCTGCTGGAAGTGGTCCTGGCCTTCGGCAACTACATGAACAAGGGCCAGAGGGGAAACGCYTTCGGGTTCAAGATCTCCAGCCTGAACAAGATTGCGGACACCAAGTCCAGCATTGACAAGTGAGCCCTCCCTGGCCCTCWTCTGTGGCAGGTTCTGCTTTCGCTGGTGGGAAGGATGATGAGTCCCTGGCTTTGGGCCATGAGTCTGTCACAGCCTTCCCCTCCCTCCTCCTGGCACTTCTAGTTAAGCAAGCAGACATTTTGGGGCAGGACGGGTTTGAAAGGAACCAGAGCTGAAGATGAACATGGGGACTGTTGGGGGCTTCTCTTTCTGGGCCTGCAAGGAGTGCCGCTCAAGACTTGCACCTCCTCAAACGCCGTGTCAGGTTGTGGGGGTGGGATTGAACCAGGGCTGCCACTGGGCTGGGSAGCCAGAACGGCCGCTGTCCTGACCTCAACTTGCCTCCCTCCTAGGAACATTACTCTTTTGCACTATCTCATCACTATCGTGGAAAAGAAATACCCCAAAGTTCTCCGCCTTCACGAAGAGCTGCGAGACATCCCGCAAGCGGCCAAAGTCAAGTGAGTTGGGTCTTGCACTCGCATGGGTGCCAGGTCCTTGCCGTGCTTCGCTCTTCCCTTCCTGCATTTCATTCCTGTGCTCCCATCAGAGGGTGTGGGATGCTGGGCTGGATTGGGTGCTGCTGGCCACGCTGGCCAGAAACCAGGCGTTGAGGCAGGAGACAAAAGCTGGCGATGCAGCAAGCATCATCTGGGGGCTGTAAATCCCAGCCCGTGCAGGAAAGGGCCGCAAGGCTCCGTCTGCGAGGGAGGAGAGCTGCCCGGAGCAGCCATTTCCTGCCGCTATCTCACCGCAAAAGCATTTAATTAATTCCTAATGAAATGTTAAGTAATCCGTTGGGAAGGAGTTGTGGTGCAGTGGCAGATACAGGTCAGCTGTGAGTGCGATGGGGAGGTTCTGTCCCGCTGCACACGCAGTTTTGCTGAAGCCCATGGGACACTGGGGTGCTGCCCAGCGCTGGCTTAGCCACCAGCCTGAACCACTTGCTTTCCCCTTCAGAAACCTCCTCCGTTTCTTATTAAATCCCGCCTGTTTTGCTGTGACCTATTCAAGCAGGTTCCTGCACCCCCTTCACAGGCTGGAGCCCTGGTTCAGCAAAGCCCTTAAGCACGTGCTGAGCTTTAAGCGCATGAGGAATCCACTGTTGCTCTGCAAAGCCCTCAAGTATGCGCTTAAGTCCCTCTGAAATCAATGGGGCTCTCTTCGGGTTTGGAAGTTCGGTGTGTGCTTCCGTGTGTTGGTGCTTTGAGGGTCTGAGCATGTGACGGCGAGTCAAGGATTACCCCTTCCAAAAGCAGCAGGCGTGCGATGCAACCACGGGCGTGAAAAGCGCCTTAAACTGCAGCTTTTTAGGCACGGGATAGAAAATATGCGTGGAATTTATGATGGCTTGTGGGTCTCTTGAGCTTCAAAGTGCTTTTGTACCAAAGGGTAGATTTGAGTTTACAAGRTACAGGGTTGAAAACCTGTAATATGTGAAGTATTTTGGGTGGTAAACATTATGTTGTTTAACACGCAGAATGATTTGCAGCTTGTGTTAGAATCACAGAATTGCACAAAATTGCAATTCAATCACAGAATTGCACCGKCGAGGAGGACTGGGTGGCTACGACATCCTTGGGCATCAGTGCAGGAAATCATCCCACGTGGGTCCTCTGCATTGGGCACCATGTGTAGTGGCTGGCCTTGGCTCAGTCTAGAGGGAAACCAGAAAGTTTCTAAGTCACTGGAAAACCCTAAATCCCCCCATCCCTGCAGCTGTTCAGCAGGATTGCTCCTTGAGTCGGTTCCACCACTAGTAATGAGCTGCAGCTCTTCCCAGCCCTTCCTTTTCCCAGGCTAGACTTGCCAGGAGCGCTTGCTCCGTGACCCAGCGTTGCTGTTTCCAGAGCCCCCAGCCCTAGGGAGATGCTCCTGGAAGCTYGCCGAGCCCGGTGTCATCAATGTCAGAAAGCTGCTGTCACTTCTGGTGACAGAAACCCAAAAGCTCTTCAGCTCAGAGCTGGCTGGGGACTGAGGCTCCACATAGAGAAAGTTGGTGTTTTGTTTTTCATCACAGTCCCTTAGATTAATTTAATCCAAGGAAAATGCTTTGCTTTAAAACAAGCAGCTGTAACCACTACCCGAGAGGCTGCTCTCCTTCCTAGCTCAGGGAGCATCAGCACAACTGGCAGCTTGAGAGACACTAATCTGCAAATGGGAAGCAATGTGTGAAGCACTTGGGTCTTTTTAATGGAAGAACATGGGCAAATTGATTAGAGTGCGGTAACGTTTGCTAGGAAAGGCTGAAAATTAACATTCTGCCATTTCTAACAGCATGACAGAACTGGAGAAAGAAATAAACACTCTGCGGAGCGGGCTGCGAGCCGTGGAGACCGTGAGTATTATTTACTGCCTTGCTCATCCATCATCCTTCCTAAGGGAAGTGGCACAGGGAGCTCCTGGCAAAGAGGCTTTTATCCCCTTGCCTTGCCTTCCTGTCCCGCACTTGTGCCCGTCCTCTTAGGGCTGTTAGGGATGGAAGTTACTGTATGCATGAGTTGTATGTGATTCACCAGGTAAGTCCAGTGGTGGTTCCTGAGGAAATGATGAGAAGAGAGSAAGAGTCCTTAGGTTCACCTTGCCGTTTGGTGTGACTGGGCACTAGTGCACTATAACCAAAAGATATTACTTCGAGACTAAAGAGCTTCTACTTTTCTTCCTGGTTGTGCATGTTTGTGTCTTTTCTCAACCAGAATCTCATCAGATGCACTTTTTTGTTTGTTTGTTTGTTTTTTCCTGAAGGAACTGGACTTCCAGAAGTCTCAGGTTCCGCAGGCAGGAGACAAGTTTGTGTCTGTCGTCAGCCAGTTCATCACATTAGCCAGCTTCAGCTTCTCAGATGTGGAAGATCTTCTGATGGAAGCAAAAGAGCTGGTAAGGTCACTGGTGTCAGTGAGATCCTGGTTGCATTTCAGCCTTTCCTCCAGGTGATAGGAGAGGAACCCTCCTGCCATTCACAGAGCTTGTGTTGTGTGTTAACATCTCAAGTGTCTCTCCTCGACGAGATCATGCAACATATCAGATGTCTCCCCGCCATGAGGTCTCATGTGTGTGAGGCATGGGGAGCATCCTGGGGAGACTCTGGCAAGAGAAAGGGTCTGGGATGCTCCTCTGAGCATGTGGGTGAGTGGTGCATCCCTGTCTGCACCAACAGACTTCTGGAATCACAGATGAGGCCAACAGAGTTTTTGTTGGGASACAAAATGTACTGTAAGGAACTACAAGGCAGGGGTTCACCTTGGAAGAGTTGTTAGGGGAGAAGACAGTAGCTCGTTTGTAGTAGATCTGAGCAGATCTGAGTTTTGGTGAAGGGCTTTCAACTTTCAGGCTGACTTCACTCCGTTTTTTAAACATGCCTGGATTCAAATCGTTTTATCATTATTTCTTAGGAAAACAGAAGCATTGTTATTTTGTAAACTGTATATTTTGTGAGGGAAGTGTTTTCAACCTTCCTCACACCAGAAATAAGGCAGAGAAGCCAATACCTTAATGAAAATCAGCAATACCTTAATGAAAATCAACAAGAATTACTCTGATTGATTATGGTTGATATTGTATCACCTGTCAAGTTCCTCTCTGCCTCTCCTAGTGCTAAACTTCTTAAAACAATAAAAGAAAACAATTGCCTAAATGTCTTACAAAGGGCCTAAAACATCTCCAAAAAGAAAGCTAAATCATACAGGCAGGCTTTAAAAACGTTCTTCTCATTCAACAGAGCAAAATCAAAGCAACTAATAAATTTGTGCTTTGATTTTCTTTTCCTTTCTTTTTTTTTTAAGCTTCCATATCTCAGGAACAGGCTGTCACAACTTTAGCAAACTTTCTGTGCACAAATAGTCTCCTGGAGGCTGCAAGAACAAAGGATTTCAGCCCAAAGGACAAGGCGGGGGCTCCTCGGGGACGCTGCTGCCTTGGCAGATAGTGCATGTCCCRTCCTGACCTTTGCTACAGCTTTACTCAAATCACTTACGTTAGTAGTTTGCAAACAGCATGGAAGGCCGGAAGGCTTCCCATTTTCCTGCCCGTTTTCTGTGCCCAGGCAGAAATGCCTTTTAAAAGCTCCACCAGCACATTTGGTTTCAATATCAGAGCATGTGGCAATGATAAATAATGCCCCAAAAATACTTCAAAGAGAAGTTAAAAGTGTGGGTTTCCCTTCCCCTGCCGTGTTTACTATTAGTTTTATGTCCTCAGTCTTGGGTCCCACAATATTTTGCTTCCTTGTTTTTACGGCTGGTTAGTTAATAAAATTGAGTTAGGGACCATGGGACACTAAGCAGAACCAGAGGTGTGAAGCTTCGCATGTGACTTTAAAGAAGGGTGTTTTAAAAGGAGAGGTTCTGGGTGCTCCCCAGGTGGGCTAATGTGTGGAAGATAAGATSGGAGATGATTTATTCCAAGTTTAATTCAAGGCTTAATTAATCCTGTCCCTGTTTTTATGATACTCCTTATTCCTTGAAGCATTTCTCTCCGATTCGTGAGGTCAAACACTTCCTGTGGAGGATTTTACTGGCCCAGTGGATTCCTCTTCTTAGACTAACAGATTCCTACCTCTCTCCCAGTTTTCTAAGGCCGTGAAGCACTTTGGAGAAGACACGGACAAAATGCAGCCWGACGAGTTTTTCGGCATCTTCGACCAGTTCCTTCAAGCTGTGACCGAGGCCAAGCAGGAGAATGAAAACATGAGGAGGAGGAAGGAGGAGGAGGAGCGCCGCGCACGCATGGAGGCCCAGGTGAGAGAGAGATGGGACTTGGTGGGGTTGGCCTGGCCCACGGACCCACCATCCTTCCCTCTTGGGTTATTTAATTAACTCACTAATGACTTGGGAGGTGGCGTGAACTTGTGTCTCCAGTAACTGGGCCTTGCTGAAGAGCTGGGCTCCTTCTCCAGCTCTTCCTCAGGCTTCCAGCTCTCCCTTGGTACATCCATGGATCTYCTCAGGAGATCTCTGGCACCTAGGCCAACGCCTTGCAGCCGGCTCTAAGCAAAGAAACCCATTTTTCCTTCTTTTTAAGTACTTTTATTTCGCTTCCAAGCTGCTCGGGAAGGGGAGGAGGGCCCCAAAAGGCTTCGAAACGTGGTATGGGGTCAGCGCTGAGCTCTCTCTCCCCATCCCCATGCCCACACAGCTGAAGGAGCAGCGGGAGCGGGAGCGCAAGGCGCGCAAGGCCAAGGAGAGCGGCGAGGAGGGCGGCGAGTTCGACGACCTCGTCTCGGCCCTGCGCTCGGGCGAAGTCTTCGACAAGGACCTCTCCAAGCTGAAGCGCAACCGCAAGCGCATCGCCAACCAGCTGGCCGACGGCAGCCGCGAGAGGCCCGTCACCAAGCTCAACTTCTGAGGGACCCTTTCCAAGGGGAGACCATGCGCACACGCAGARAAAAAAAAAGGAAAAAAAACCACAAAACACAAAAAAAAATAGAAAAAAATGAAAGAAAGAAACATTTAGCAGTCTTTTCCAAGTGGCTAGTTTTTTTTTTTAATTATTATTATTATTATTATTATACTGCCTTGTGATGCGAACTGAAGCAGTGGCACGCTCTGTCTCCGTGTGGGTGAGTGTGTGTGTACATACGTACTGTATATACAGAGCCGGGGTGGTTGCGTGGCCGCAGACAGGCGTCGGTGGGGGTGTGCGTGGGTTGTGCACGTGTGGGTGTTGTGTGTGGGGTGGGGGGGCTGTGGGTGTGCGCACAGCCGGGTGCACAAGCACAACGCCGGGGTCGGAGCTGTGCCCGGGAGCCCCGTCCTCGCCCGGCAAAAAAAAAAAAAGAAAAAAGAAGAAAAATGGAGTAAACACAATCTGTTTTTTTGTTTTTTTTTCGTTGTTATTCCAAAACTTGAACGTCTGTGCTTTTGTGCTGGTTCCCGGGTGCTGGTCCGTAAACGCTCTCGATGATTCTCTCCAAGCTGGTTTTTGCGGGGAGGAAATGTTCCTTTTCCCCTGCCTCCAGCCCCGGACCTGCTAAAGGAAGGAGCCCTCCAGAAGGTGCTGGTGGCCCTGGCCATTCCTCTGCCTGCTCTTCCCTGGGACAAGCTGCATCCTCACCCTGCAACCAGGACACGGGGCCGCTCCAGGTACCGGGGGCTGCTGCCAAACCCAGCRCGGGCAGCGGGCAACCCGCTCACTTCCCGCTGCGCCCACCTTTTTTGATTTCATTAGTATTATTTTATACATATATATGTATTTTTAAACGGACACACACAGGAGCAGCATCRCCAAGAAACTTCCGTCTCTTAGCAGCGTCCTTTTTTTTTAATTTTCCTTTTTTTTTTTTTTCCTTTTCCACATGGTTCGCTGTCCGCTGTCGTTGCAGATCTGTAAGCAGAACTACCTGTAAAATGTTAGTCCAAAAAGAAGAAAAATAATAATAGTAATTAATAATAATAATGATAATAATGATTCAGAGCTCTCAGGGAGTAATAATTTAAAGGTTTAGAAAATTAAGAATTGGAGAAGAAAAAGTAAACGCCATTAACATATTAACGTTTCTATTCTTAAATTATGCTGAATATATAGAGGACTGTTACTTTTTTTTGCTTTTATTTATTTGTGGTGTGKTTTTTTTTAAGAAAACAAAACCTTTTTATACCATCAATACTTCTGTGACCTTTTTTTTCTTTTCTTTTGGGTTTGTTTGTTCAGTTTCCTGTGGAGAGATGAGTTTGTCCCTGTTGCACTAGGTATTAACACTATTTGAAATAAGGTTTTTCTTTTTTTTTTTTTTTTTGTCGGATAATCGGTATTACCGGTGGGGTATTGGGTTGTCAGTTTCCTATGTGTACTGTATAGCAAAAGTGCTGTTTAAAATAATTTGTATAGAAAAAAACCTATGGTTTTAAGCACCTGAAGGCCGTGGGCTCTGTGTGCTGTGTGAAAGCTGTGAAATGTCACTCTAAAAAGAGTTGTCAAGAGCTGTGGTTTTACCATTTTGTTCTTTTCTTCATTGCAACTTTTTGACGCACTGTAGATTAAAGAGAAAAAAAAAAGAAAGAAAAAAAAAAAGACGACTTTCCAAGTAGCATTTAAAGCAGTAACAAATACAGCAGGTAAGTGCAAAAGGAAAAGCAAAAAAGTCCAGCACCTGGTGTCAAAGCAGCTGCAAAACCTGCAGATTATTTTCCAAGGTGGAGTTAAGCACTTTGCTTTTAGAAGGAAAGGGGAAGTAAAGACAAGAAAGGTAATGCTAATACTATTCCTTAACTAAAGTGCCTCTATTTATATTTTTTATTTATGCTGAAAAAAAAAAAAATGGGGCTGATGATACGATTGAGGGAATGGACTTTTGGGGGGAATTAAAAAAAAAAAAAAAAGTACAGATAGAGAAAAGAAAAAGGAAAAAAGAAAAAGAAAATCCTGGCGTCTGATGGTTTAAGGAATGGTTGCTCATGTGTTTGCGTTGAAGGCTGTGGGGGACCTCGAGGACCCATCGCTGTCCTGGTGCCACGTCCTACCATGACACTCGTCCTCGTGCCCTCCCAGGCCTTCCTGTGCTTCACAGCAGCCTCGTTGCGGGGCTGGATTTGCCATTTCTCTGTTTCTCTTTCCGAAAAAAGAAAAAAAAAACAAAAAGAAAAAAAATTATATATATATATTATAAATAAAAGCAGAGGCTGTGTGCAGGTAATTCCATGTGCCATTGTTGGAAACTACTTGTAGGTCGGTGCTGGTGTAAGTAGTCACTCTTTTTTTCTCTTGGGTGTGTATTTTCAAGAAAACTTTTTTTTTTTTAATACCAAAAAGGAGAAAAAAAAAAAAAGTCTGTAATAATTTGTAAACTGAAGTATCTGTCTTGGACCTTATTACGCTTCGTAGTGACCGAGTTAGTCTGTTAGGCGCAAGAACGTTGTTAGTGGTAGCTGCCAGGAGGTGCTGTGTAATGTCATGAGACTGTACATTTTCTAAGACGGCAATACGCAATAAAGGACCCGAATTATTGCAGTGTGCACCCCTCGCCGAGCCCGCACGGCAAGGGAGGGGRAAAATGGTGTTTTTGGGTGTGGGGGGGCTTTGTTTTCATTCACGGCTTTTGCAGCGGGGCTGTTTTGGGGTGAGGGCTTGGGGATTTGGGGTTGGCACCTGTTGTTGCTCGGTCAGCCCGCCCTGTGGCGTTGGCTTGTGCTAATTGCAAGCGTTAATCAACACCCCGAGWCTCTCGCAGCAGTTTGCAGCTCCCATTTCCTCCTTCCAGCTGCTGCTGCTGGTGTCTCCATTGCATTTGGGGGAAAAGCGACTGTTTTGCACCACGCTAGAGCTGAGAGGACCCTCGTGTGTCTCTCTTGATGTCCCTGAGGCTTTTGCAGCTGCACAAACCCCCTCTGGTCCCATACACACTCTCCCAAGGGATTCCAAAGGATCACACCATCCCCTTTTCCACATATCCYGGCTCCAGAGCTTTTGGTTTTCTTTCTTTCCATCCCCCAAAGCCTTCGCCCCATTGGGATCCCAGGAGCGCTTCCTAACTTTGAACCTTGCAGGAGATGCCRTGCGGGATGTGTGAATGGGAGATGGAGCAAGGCAGGCAGCCTTGGAAAACCTGGGCAACCTTGGGAATAGCAGCACCACCCTCTGGTGGCACCTTCTGGACTTTGCACTGGGTCCTAGCAGAAAAGCAATCCCACCARCTTCCCTCTGCCCCATTCCTGATGTTTTCAGGCAGCTACAGGGTTTTTCCCACTGTGGGACGGTCAAAATGTTAAATTTTGTGTCTGAGTTTCCCCCACTACATAGCAGAGAAGGCATAATTTTAGTGCAATCCACACTAATTTATCTTTTTTAGAGCTGATCAGGTGAAGATCACARATTTGGGACTTCTCTGTGAATTTCTCTGGTGTCCAAGTTTCCAGTCCGCGTGYGCTGTGTGCGAGTGAGCTCTGCAAATCCACTCATGCTCAATATAAGATAATCCAGAATTATCTTCTAGATAAGATCTGGTTTCACAAGTGATCTTAGTTCCCTGGTTGCTTTTGAGAGCCTCCCTCCACTCTTTGCTCACGCAATGATGGGGCCTACGAGCAGGTCTGGATTTCAGTGCATTTCCCTCAACCTCAGGATGCAGGAATTGCGATAGGCACATCCAATACTTGCCCTTCACATCATGTCAGATAGGCTCTATTGTGAATTTTATTTATTTTATTTTGCAAATCAAACCCGCACGTGCTGCTGGGCAGAGGTTGCTCCTGAAGACACCAATCTTTGCATGTTCTGCCTCAGTTTCCTGTGCGTGGAGAGCGTGGCTCTGGCTTTGCAGGACACGGGACGGCCAAACTGTGTGAAGAACAGGCCATGAGTAGAAGGAGAGAGGAACAACCCCAGCCACACATCTGGCCCAGCTCCCAGCACCGGCTTCGGCGCCTTTTCCTCAGAATTGGAAGCCAAGCCGCGCTTTTCCCAGCAACTCCTTCCAACGCAAAGGAAGGGGCAGCTGCGGGAGCCCCTTCTCACCTCTGCGTTTAAGCCCAAACACCAGGATTTATGGCTGAAACGGGTCCTGCTTCAACTGCATGGAGAAGCAAGAGGCTCTTCCAATGCCAGAGGGCAGCGCCAAGGATCTTCATTCCTGGCCTCCACCCAGCACGTGTTGGAGATCAACACACCAAGATCACAGAACCACARAATGGTTGAGGTTGGAAGGGGCCTCTAGAGATCATCTAGTGCAACTGTCCTGCYCCAGCAGGGACACCCRGAGCACGGGGCACCCGGGCGCATCCAGGYGCCTTGGGAAGATCTGCAGAGCAGGAGCCTCCGCAGCCTCCCTGGGCAGCCTGGGCCAGGGCTCGGGCACCCTCACACCAAACAAGTTCTTCCTCACGGSCACAYGGAGCTGCCTGGGCTTCACCTTGTCCCCTTGCCCCTTGTCCTGSCACTGGCCACCACCCAGAAGAGTTTGGCCCCCTCCTCCCTACATTCACCCTTCAGGTATTTGTAAATATTGATCAGATCCCCTCTCACCCTTCTCTTCTCCAAGCTAAACAGGCCCAGCTCACTCAGTCTCTCCTTGTACGAGAGATGTTCCAGTCCCTTAATCATCTTAGTTGCCCTCCRCTGAACCCTCTCTAGAAGCTCCACATCCCTCTTATGCTGGGGAGCCCAGAACTGCACACAGTACTCCAAGTATTCCAGGTACTCAGGTACTCCAAGATCTGTAGCAGGACTACGTAGCTGCTGGGCAAGGCATCACACATGCCATGAATTCCTCGAGACCGTTTTATTCTCCCTGCTGTAAACAAACTAGATCTCTAGAGGTCCCTTCCAATCTTAAACATTCCGTGGTTTTGTGAAACCCTCCAAAGGGCAGCAGGCATTTGGTTTAATGATTAATTAAATCAAATTAATGCACTTTAATGCATCTTTGGGTGCAACTTTAAGAAAGGTCCATCTAGGCCTTGCACTGCGTTTGTCACAACACTTGCTCTGCATATTTCTATTCGGACTCGGAGGAAAGGCTGCGCTGGCATCTACCCACGTACACAAAGACGTGCGGAGAAAGGGAAGAGGGGATGTTGGATTTCATTCACGGGAACTGTTTTAATTCTGGTGATTATCATCAGCTATTACWGCCCGTCAGGCTGTCACTTACAAACTGGTAATTATCGCAGTTCTTAAGTTATACTCAGAGCATTTGATCTGAACTGAGACTTTGTCTGGGGATTAGGAAGGGAAGGGGAAGCAATGACATGAATGAACATCACTGAATGATCATCAATGACTTGATGATCAAGTCAGCGGCAGAGCTACCACTGATTCCAGTCTGAACAGCACCTTTTGAAATGCTTTTCATTCCTACAGACTTAGCATTTCCCTTCTGTGCTGTAGCACATTAGTTATGCCAATGGCATGCACGCTTTGCCAAGTGATACTTGCGTGGACGGGAAGTGCTCCGGAAAGATCCAGGAGATGAGCGGCTGAAGAGGCCAGGGCCCATTTGTAGCTGTGACATTACTAATMTTGTCACTGGTGCTCAGGGCTGAGTAGCTCGAGTCATGGACCCGTTGCCACCAAAGGGAAGGTTGGAGCAGCTGGAAGAGAGACATGAGGGAGGGAATGACACCYCAAGAGCCAAGCACAGCAGTGCTGTGCCTTCATCTTCGTTGTTTCTTAACCCAAGATCCATCCCTTAGTTTGTCTGCTCTTACCAAGATTCCTCCATTTGGCAGGAAAAAGAAAAGCTCCTCTTACATGTAAAAGGTACAAAAAAACCCTCTGATTCTGGTGCTGAAGACGGGCAAAGAGATCAGAGGAGCCCACGCTGGGCTCTCTGGTCCCACCTGCCATCTATCTCGTTCAAGCCAATCTGGGCATCCCCACAGACACCTCTTTGCTTTGCTTTTGGTGGCCCTTGGGCAGGCCAGGGAAGCCAAAACCCTTTGGACCAGTCACCAGCGTTCACTCCCTGCTCCTCTCAGAAACACCACCAAAAACCTGCTCAATTTGCAGAAACGCCAAGATTTGCACGGGAAAATAGCACAGCTGAGAAGTGTCAAAGAGCCACATCTTCTCCCTGCGGACTTCAGGAGCATGACAGATGAAAATTACAGAACTGATTACAACGCGAAAAGTGATTGCACTAAAATTTCACAAACTATTAGGTCTCTCCCTCTAATCGCTCCCCTGACCTTTTTTCTTTTTCAGAAGATTCCCTTTAAATGCAAAGAATTATACCAGGTGGAGACACTTTAATCTTCTGCATAAAAGATAATTTATTTCTTGCCTCACTTTTACAAAATAATATGTCCACTCAAGTCACAAACAGCTGAAAAAGCTGGTAACACAGTAACACTGCGTGTTTAAATACTGTACAGGAAAAACATCTTTAAATTGATGAAGATAAAAGAAAACCCAATCTTTAATTTCTGAGTCAAAACACTAATTTAAGGCTTTAGGCCCCTGAGCCTGTGGGCAAAAAAAAAATCATACAAACAAATTTCTATGAGTTATCACTGTGCAATAGCACTTCAGCTGTCTGATGTTGCATTGATGTTATATTCTTTTTAATGGCAAGCAGTTTTTAAATGTGCAATGCTAATAACAGATGGCTGCTATCAAGCCAGTAATACCTGCCCTGTGTGGATAGACATTGTCACTTGCTGAAGCACACATGGAGCACATGCTATTGCTGCACTTCTCCTTTGGGACATCCACCTTCCCGCAGCTCCTCCACGCAGGGCTGGAGCCGTGCTGGGGAGGCGAGATGCTCTCAAACAGAAAGCGGGTGACACCAGAGCCCACCCCCACATCCTTTTCCTCAGTTCTGTCTGGAAAGCTCTTATTATTTCGCGTGTTCTTAGCATTTTTAAGCTGACAGTACCTGTGTAACAAAAAAAAAAAGAAAAAAAAATTGCTGAAATTCTAGCAACTGAAGTCTTCTCTCCCTTCCCCTCTCTCCCAGCACGCGTTGCTCATGTCTGCAGACATCTGTCACAGCAATGCTGGTTTGTTCTGTCTGGGCGTATTTCTCATTTTTTTGTTGGCTGTTTTTAGTTCTTCCTTCAGGCTGCCACTCCCTTCACACGCGAGGGGCTGAAGCGCCGTTTTCCGCGCCGCCATGTTCTCACAGCGCGGTGTTTTCCCCAGCCTCCTCCAGCCGTCGGTGCCCGGCTCCAGTCCGTGGGCTCGGGCCGTGTCCGTGTGTCTGTCCCTTGGGATCCTGCGGGCACTTTGGGCCGACCCGCAGCCATCGCCGCTTCCTTCCCGCAGTCCAACCCTTGCACTGGTTCCAACATGTGGAAAAGGAAAGGAAAGGGGAAAAGGAAAGGAAAGGGTTTCTTTTCCTGCAGATCCTCCTCACCACAGGACTGGTCACACACCAGGGCCCACATGATGGTAAAAAGACATATATATAGGTATGTATATCACAGCATGGCTCCATGAGTCCCACCCGGACGGTTCCTGGCCGCAAGCAGCTCCRGCTGGCGGCTGTTTCCTCAGGGGGGAGATGCCCACTGGGCACCGGCACCGCGCTCCGCTCAGAGGCTCGTGTCGACCGCGTCCGCCCGGGCCTTGGGGGCGGCCTCGGCGGCGCCGCGGGGCTGCCCGTCCCGGCAGAAGAGCACGGCCGGGTTCCTGCAGGCCCACACGGCCGCCCCGGCGCCGCCGGGCCCGTGGAGGCAGCGCTCGCGGGCGCGCTCGGCCCGCCCGTCCCGCTCCGGCCGCCGCGGGGGCCCCGCGCGGCTCCTAGTCCGGTAGCCGCCCTCGCGGCTGCGCCGCAGCAGCACCGCGAGGTTGGGGTTGCGCGCCGCGTAGATGAGCGGGTTGATGGCGCCGTTGGCCCACGCCATGCCGCTGGCCACGGCGTCCATGGTGGGCGAGAAGGGCAGGCGGCCGGCGGCGGCGGCCAGCCCCAGCACGCAGTAGGGCCCCCAGCAGCAGATGATGGAGACGATCATGATGAGGACGGTGGTGGCCGTGCGCATCTCGCCCTGGGCGCGCGCCAGGTGCCCGCGGGCGGCGAGCGGCCGCACGCGGCTCCCGGCCAGCCGCGCCGCCCGGCAGATGTTGTAGTGGCAGAAGCACATGAGGGCGAAGGGCAGCAGGTAGCAGAGCACGATGAGCGCCGCGCCGTAGGGCGGCCCCAGGCGCGACGAGCCCCAGGGCAGCACGTAGACGCAGCGGTCGGCGCCGGCCTCGTGCCGCCCGTCGCCCGCCAGCCCGTACCAGGGCCCGGCCAGCGCCAGGGCGGCCAGCCAGGCGGCGGCCAGCAGGCGGGCGGCGCGGCGGCGGCCCAGGCGGCGGCGCGGCTGGCGCACGATGGCGCAGTAGCGGTCGAAGGAGAGCAGCGCCATGGTGAGCGTGGCGGCGATGCCCAGCCCGGCGTGCAGCGCGGCGCCGGCCACGCACAGGCGCTGCCCGGGCAGCCAGRCGCCCGGCGGGCGGCTCAGCGCGCCCAGCAGCGCCAGGGGCAGGCAGAGCAGCGCGCCCAGCAGCTCGGCCAGCGACAGCGACAGCACGAAGGCGTTGGTGACCGTGCGCAGCTGGCGGTGCCGCGCGATCGCCAGCACCACGGCGCCGTTGCCCAGCGCCGACAGGGCCATGATGAGCAGCAGCGC